AGTTAACATTATTGCTGTGGACTAAAAGCAGTTATTTCCACTTCACTGGAAATTTTTGGCCTGAAAGAAACTAAAGCAATAACTATCCAATATTCTTTTTCTTGCACATGAAAATTAAAAGAAAATTTGTTCTAGAAAAGTATACTGTTTCCTAAATGAAGTGGAGTCTCTGAAGCCTTAAGTTCCCTTAAGCTTTAAATACAAGCATAAGTTTGCCAGTTGATCCCGATAACACAAGACTGATATTTTCAAAAATGGTACTTACTGTCCTGAGAGCTTCAGTATTTAGAAGTTTCCTGGCCCTTCCCCATGTGTTTTCTTTGCAATCATCAGCACTAGAAACTTGATTTCTTGGATAAAAGTTATGATTCTCTGCTTATTTGCTGCCAGGAGTTTTAATAATAATAAATATCATCAAATTTGTGGCAATACTGTGTGCTGGGTCACAATGCAGAGTATAAGAAAGCAGAACTAATTTATCGAAAGCAGAGCATGCAACTGTGTTACAGTCCAGTAAACTCTTGACTTAAGGGACATAACTGTGCAGATATTTTTTTCACATGTATTTATTATGCAGGCAAGCACATATTGCAGGAGATTTTCAATGTGCGGCCTTCATAACCTACCACACAGAGTTGCTGTGGGGATTAACTGGTTAAGATTTGTAAAGCGCTTTGGAGATTATCAAGCATTAAGTTGCGTAAGTGCTAAGTACCATTATTTAATACTTAAGTATTATAACCAAGCTTTACAGGCCAGCTCATGTTCACCTTACTAGCACAAGTCTTTGTGATTTCAATATAGATGTTGCAAGAGGTAAAGCAAGCAGAACTGACCACAAGAGAATTTCCTTTCTTGTTTCACAGTCAGAGACTGATGTAAGATACAACTGCACAGGTGTTACAGAGAGACTAATCAAAAACTTAATATGAAAGGCAACAGTCGATCCAAGAAATCTGTATAAGAAGGCAGTGCTCCTTAAGGTGCCAGTTCCTTACTTACTGTGTCCTATCTTACCCAAGAAGACCTACTAACTATTTTCCAGGAAGCACAGTTCCAGACCCCAAATCCATAAATCGATCAAATACAACACTAATATCAGCTGAAAACATTGCCAAGTGACAGTAAGGATGGGTAAAATCTACACACCGTTAAGTTGTACTGCATACATATTGTAGTTTTGACTTGAACCAGTTATAAAACTAGTTGAGTCAAAATTTTGGAAGAACAATGAGCACAGATAAAGTAAAAATCTTTATCAATCATATTGAGAACATCTGCTTCGATGCAGGTTTTTTGTTGAATTTTGTTTTGGTATCATCCTTCCTCTCCCTTATTTTGTAATGTCAGTTTTCGGAAGCAGAAGTTTGAGAAGTTTGGGTGGGTTTTCTGGTGTATTTTGTTTGTTTGTTTTTGTTTTTTTTGTGTGTGTATATGTGTGTTTGTGTGTGGTATCAAAGGGACAGAGCATTTGTTAATAAAATATGCAAATCAGAAACAACATGAAATAATTTTATGCCTAACTGTGTTGGACACAGATGAACACAAGTGTTTCAGGACTGCTGACATCCCCACATCATAGATGTTGGGGTGGCATGTTGTCAGACATTGAGCTGCATTCCAATATCCTGAACCAATAAAATCCTACTTGGCAGTCAGGGAAGAAGAGTTGGATTTATTTACCTTATAAGGACTAATTACTATTCAATTGCAGTCTCTTTACAAGACAAAACACTCTGCTTAAATTCCTTGCCTCTGCAAAAAGTGACATTTCACAAGGACAGCCTTTTCAAGCATTTGCATGGCTAAGAATAAAGATTACTTTGCTGTAGTGTTTTGACATTTTGATCTGAATTGAAGCATATAATAAAAATGCACTTCACTGAATGTTCAAGTATGAACTGAAATTCAGTTCCAGAGAAAAATAAAGGTAAAAGAAAGCAAAGAGAGAGTGAAAAGTGCACTTCTGTAGTAGATGCAGATCCTTGTCCTTCCCTGGGTCGAGGAAGTTGCAGGCCTCTAATGCTCCTACTATTCTTTGGAAAACAAACTCTGCTTCCTGCATTAAGATATTAAGAATCATCATGTCACAGGAGATCAAATTATTTGTTCCCAAACACAGAAAAAGTTCATGAAAAAGCCCCAGAACTCAACTTAATGTTCTAGATGTTGACCTCCATCCCAGACTGCTTTAGCCTTTCAACCTAGAAACAACTTAAGGAAACTAGAACAATGGGTAGGCATCATTCAGAGAACAAAAACAGCTACGTATGGTGGCAAATTTTACTCTACACCCTTTATTAACAGGGTCTTGCCAATCTTTTGACTGGATATTCCAGGAGATGTGGGAAACCAGATTTTGTATTATTGCTTTAGACTCTGCTGATTAAGCTCTGAAGTGCTCACAAAAAGATTAAGAGATCTTTGCTCTGCTCAGATCTTGCAGGTTTTCCAGTGCTTTATGTAAGACTCCACTCACCTCCACAGTTGCTCTCTCACCTCAGTTATCACACCTAAGCAAGAAAAGCAACTCAGTTGTATTGTTCCTTTTTTTTTTTTTTTGTCTTTTCAATTACCTTTTTATTATTATTATTTCCTTATTGCTTTCTTTTTTATTTAGAGAGTCTTAAATCATACAACGGCAGCCACTCATTATTCATTTTGGATGCAAATTATGGGTTACTTATGCTGTTGCTCATACCAACAGCAAACTGCTTGACCTATATTAGTATTCTTAATGCTCATTTTGGCAGAAGTAAAATTTCTGTGTTTCTGAAAGGTTACCAGGTGCATTACAAATCTAGTTAGAATTTGAACAAAATATATCTGGGTCTTTTGACAACTGAATTACTGGGTTTGAAAGATACAATGACTGCTATCAATTTCACATACAGTGCAGCCCATGATGCTCACATTTTGGAAATAGGTGTATGTGGCTCAACTGTCGTGTGATTTCAGTAGATTGAGGAAGATTGAAACACTGCAGAAACAGAACCATCAACAAGTGTTTTTGAACGTTGCTTAAAATCAGCATCTATTATATAGGACAGAAATAAAGTCTTTTCTGGTAAGCTGTCAATATGGCATTTATGAGGAATTTTATTGTTCAAATGCACCACTGGGAACAAAGACGGTGTTTTATAAGTTACCTAATTTGTCTGTTCTCATTTTACTATCCACTGAGAAAAAAATAAGCAGTGGATGTTTGTCTTAAAAACTATTTGGTAGCAAACACTGGAGTTGCTGAGGGTAAATTATGAAACAATCTTTGGTAAACTGACCTGACAAGGCAAACAAATTCCTAAGATTAAACTAAAGCAGGTTTTCTGTGTTGTCTGTGACATCACACCAACTGTAGCTGTATTACTTCTTCTGCTTCATTTAGAAAATTGTGGTGATTATGAGAATGGTATTAGCCACAATGGATCACCACTCCAGCCTGGTACATCAAGTAATCCTCTGCTGCTGTATGCAAAAAATACTTGCCTCCTTACTGCCAAGGATGTAATTCTTCGGTCTTCATGGGGACACTCCAACAGGAAAATATAACAATTTTTTGACAGAAATCAGACAACTTAGATTATCGACCATTTGAATCTTATGGACAAAAGCTGCATATGTGCCTCTTAATATTAATGCAATGGAAACAAGATTCAAGGCAAGAACATAGCAAGGACTTAAGCTATTTTTTTTCTCAAAACTCAGTTCTCGTTTCTTTTACTGTACATAAACTTTAAGGTTGGATATCCATATACAAATATAAGACTTTTCCTGAATTTGGTAGGACTTTACATAGACTATGAAAATTTCTGTGGGATAGACAGACCTTCTGTCTGGGCCAATTTTTAGAAAATTCTGTCTGCAAAAAGTAAATAGCTTTTTTACAAGCACTCAAGAATAATTCTATTGTTTTGAAAAGCAAAAGATTTTATCCTCCTCAAGAAAATATCACATATGACTAACATATGCTAGTTCATCTATGGTGGATTTGGAAATTGTTCTACGGAATTATTTTAGCCAATACATACTAAAATCACTGAGGTTTTAAGCAGACACCATAACAAACTCTAGCAGGACAACTAACTATACTGTGCACTCAGTAGATATTGCTGACTGTATTGTGCTGCATCTATCTTTTGAAACTGGTCATTTTAAGTCTACAATAACAACAGACCTGATCTCCAGTGCAGTTCCACAGTCATTTTAGGGCATGATTTAGTTGTCTAGGGCTGCACATCTATTGTCAGAGAGATGACATACAGTATTTGTTTTGGGTTCATGTAATTTTGGAGTTGAGGAGTGCCCGCAGCAGTTTGTGCCTGCCTAGCCAGGTATCATCCAGAACCCAGAACTGATGCAGAGACTTCTGGAAGTACTGCTTTCCTCTGATGATTATGGCACTGCTTGCATGCAGAAATGGCAAGGCTTTAATGAAAATATTGCAAATATCCCTACAGCTGTGCAAAAGGTTCATGTGTCCTTAGATCCCATCAGTCCCTCCATGCACCACTAAGAGCCAGAGTAAATATGTCATGCTGGCAGTAGCAACATACAGCTACACAGTGGACACCATGGAAAGATGTCAGGAACAAACAAACCAAAATGCTCATGTCAGCCCAGTGCATTAGGCTCTGTTGTCCCATCCATCAGTGTGTTTCAGTGGTGGTAGGGGGGTTAGTCTCACTGAATTCCTTCTGATCATCAAGAAGCAGAAAATATACACAACGCACCCCAGTTAGACCCTCCTGTCCAAACTGCATGACAGCTAGGAAAGAAGTATTGTGTTAACTTCATGCGTGTATATTCCAGGTGTAAACACCATGATAACACACCCCAGTCTATATTCTAGATAGGAACCTTGAAAACTTACCTTCCTTATTTCACTAAAGTTGTAAGTTCACTTTCCGGTATCTCTATTAGTTCATAACACCAGTACGATCCCCCAAAATGCATAATAGAATTGTAACAGACATTCAAATCATCAGCCATTTTAGACTTACCCATACAGCTCACTTCCCAAGACTTTTAGATGTCTCTTTTGGAAGCAAAATGTTGTTACACTCAATGCCACCGGACGGGAGGGGAAGTTAACATGATTCTTCTCTGTGGATCTCACTTGGAGCTTCTAGGCCTGGAGAGAATGGCCATTGACAGGATAGGCACCTGGCATGAGGAAAAGAAAGATGTGGTTAAAATGTAGTCCCCCAAAAATCTTCAAACCAAACCGATGTCTAAAATATTTTTTTGGGCACTAGGACGCTTTATGTTAGCACCTCTATATTTTGACAGGAATTGTGAGAAAGATCTGAAGGGAAATGACTGATCTGTATCAGAAGGGACAGAAGTTAGAGGACTGTCGTCTGCTGTGCTACATTCCAACCTTAATGACCCTATGATGATTCTATGAAATCCTAACCATTATCCACCAAAATATTGCAGAAAGTATGCTAATACCTAAACAGTTTGGACAATTGGAGCATAGTGGTTGAGCCCAGGTTCTTGATTTTATTTATTTTTTTCATTGCCAGTATAGATGTAGAGCTAGGTCCTATTTACTTGAAAAGATTCCTATGCCCTGTTTCTCTGATTCAGTTTGAGCTCTGGCATGCCCACCCCTCACAAACTAAAGCCGTGTAGGTCTTGTTATAAAATAGAATTTTCTTTCCAGATGCAGCAGATATTACTGAGGCAATTGCTAATGGCTTTAAAGAAGGTGAAAAGCTCTGAAAGCTGCTCACTTATGGAAAGCAATGAGTTAGTTGAAAACCAGGAGGAGAAAATGGAGGTGGATTAAAGACGTTGCTTTGTGCATAGAAGAACAGCGTAACAAGAAAAAAACTCCAGTTTCCTTTTTTTCCACAGATAGAAAGTGTTTCTGTTTGTATACCATGATGATCATGTACCATTCACCATCTTCACAGCTATTTCATCACTGTTTTAATAGTGGAATGCACCATTTACCTCCTCTGGATACGCTTACATAAAAAGTGTTTGGTTTGCTTCTACCAGTTTAACTACTGGCAGTCATACCTGCCATGTGACTGTGCACTAGTTCTGCACCCACAGGGAAGTTTTTTAGAACTTGATAAGCACATCCCTGCTCGTACACATGGACAATTAAACAGTTCCCCCTAAATCAGACATATTGATGATGCCGAGCCATCTGTTTGACGATATGTTTAGTTACACGAATTGCACTACAAGTATTTCCTCACAGATTAAGAAATCTCCATGTAGGTGGCTGCACAGTGGGACCTGTGTACCTGAAATATCCCCACAAGACTGAAAAATACAATGCAGGAACTGTACAGCATCAGCTTGTGGGTGCCTGGCAGGATCCCCAAGGTCATCTCAAATGGCATTAAAGTTAGACCACTAAACTTAGACCACTGGACTGAGCCCTGCTACCTTCAGTTGAGTGCCTAAGATCTCTTTAGGCAATATGAGATCTACTCGGACCTGTTCAGCTGGAGTTCAGAAAGCAGATCAGATGATAAAATAAAGGAATACTTAGATTTATGAGCCCTATCCTTTCATGAAAAAAAAAAATAAATAAGGTTTTCTTTGTTGATTCCAAGTAAGAATCTCAAGAACAGACTCCACCTCCAAGTTTGCACATGCTACTAATGTGAGGTGCCCATTGAGATTTTTCCACTGCTTTAGTAAACTTACACCCAACTAGAAACTTGACTTGCTTTGTTCAACATACTACATATATATTAATTTTAAATACTTGTAGAAGCATGATTTTGTTGGGTTTTAACAGAATTGTAGCCATCTCTACTGCAGCATTATTAGTTCACTGGTATTACTGCACAGTTTGCTTTAAAGCCTTTGTTCATTTATAATAATGGAAACACATTCATCAGAAATTATCACTGCTCTTCTCCCAGAGACATGATATTTTGCCTAGTTTCTGTTTGGTATTGTTGTAAATACAATGCTTTTGTTTTTTATATGCCTTGCTTGTTCATTTCACTGTTTTCCTGTTCTAAACAGATTCTCAACCTGTAGTCATCATCTAAGCATCTGAACCACTTCTGAAGCATATGATTAGTATGAGGGGTATAGCAACTGTCAAAGTCCCTTGCCTATTTTGCTGTGCCCTTGCACCCCAATCTCGTACCTGATGCTGGAGATGAGTTTAGTGGACATCCTTGCCCAATTGCCCACTTGATGTAGCAGCTGGATTCCACGCTGTGACTGGAAGGTTTGGTGTGTCACCCCTTCTAAACATATCCTAAAGACTCTAAAGCCTTTCCATGAGCATGGGTGACCTTATTGAGGAGTCTTGCAATAAAGTGGGTCTCTTGCAGAGTAAGAGCATGCAAACAAACCTTTCAGGAGATTAGTTGTCAAGATCATAGGATCATCCTGTGATCACAAAATGACTGAATGGTTGGGCTGAATGAAGGCAGCTTCTTTCTGAGGTGAATATGTACAAGGAAATGGAAACAGGTTTCTTCACTACATGTCCAAGCCCCAGGAGTTTTCTGTTTCACTTCTGAGGATTTTCAGGACTCCAAGTAGAAAATGTAGCAGGTTCTGAGAGTAATTGCTTCACTCAGGGAGAATATTACTGGTCTGAAACACAAACACTTTTTGGAGGATGGTGGGCATATTCTTCATGCAACATTTTCTGCTCTTAGCGACCATTATCCTGACAGGCGATTACTGATTGCCTGAGAGCAGTGCCATTCTCAGATCGAGACTGCCAATTTTGTAGGATATGAAAGATAAGGAAAGATAGGGACAAGATTTTCACCATGGAGATGCCTTTCTAAACAACGCTGTAGCCTTTATAACATCTTCATAATGGAAGATACAGCCAGCAAATTTTGATTTTAGCTGCCAGGAAGTTTTATCCACCTGGTCACTGTTTGGCCAGTAATATGCTACTATTGTGCTGCTTCACTGATTACCCTTGCTTCCACAAACGAAAAGTAAGTGAAAGTGCTCACATCTAACTGAGCCTCCTGTCAGAGGTAACAGGAATCCATGGGGAGGAAGCCGACAGAGGAAAAGCACAAGTTCATAAGCTAGGAGGAGAACTACCAGTCCTGTAACACCCACAGCATCTTCTCCAAGGCACAATATCTGACACCGCCATCTGTCTGCATCTTCCTCTTGCACAAACTGCACCTTCATAGCAGAGGATGCCTTAAATCAGCAGGCTGCCAAGGACAAGCCATGAAGTATAAAATTATATTACAGAACTGGGTGCATTCCTTTCCACTTATGCACATACTTGTGATGATTATGCTCACTTCTGCAACAAGGAGCAACTCCTTACCACCTGGAATCAGGTAAACAAATAACTTTAAAATATTTGAATATTTGACATTTTGTACAAAGTCTGTCAGAGAGCATTTAAAACATATACATTTATATTACACATATATCAATTAGTGCTTTCTCTCTTTTGTAGGAGAGCCTTGTTTATAGACATTTTCATTTTTCTTTCTCTCAGCTTTTCAAAACTGCAACACCTCTTTATTGGAAGACTCTCCCTAGAATTCCAAATTTAAGTACAATAAAGAAAATATAACCCTTTGTCTTTTATTCCATCCCACACAAATTCTCAAAGCTAATGCTTAAAGAGCTGTTCCTTTTGGCAACATCAAAGCATTTCAGTTTATTAGCCTTCTCATTCCAGGAACTTCAGAGAAGTGATTTCAGCAAACTAAATCCAATAAGCACATATCAAAAGATATTTGATTTGCCATCTTGATAGGCGTTTTAAACGATGAATGGAACCTTCTGTCTAGTTCTATTGTCAATAACTTTAACTTATTGAAATGTTAAGAGAATACTAGTAGATTCTTTCCCTAGCAGTTTAATCACCAACATTGTGTTAATATACAAAAGAAGGACTTTATAAATTCTTATTCTATTGCTCTGTGGGGAAAAAAAATAAAAAAAAATCTCTCTCATGGATTTGTCTCGGTTCACTTGGTACCTAAAGCATGGTCATCTTACAGAAAGAAAAGAGATAAAGAGTCAGACAGACAGACAGCTCCACAAGGCAGTTAGTCCCATTCCAAAAATGTTGGGATGACTTGCCTTCCAGGATTGCCTAGTGCTGTCTGCTACCAGGCTATTTTACCGGACTAAATCAGAAGACATGCATAACACTCAGCAGCCTGGTCAGGTTAGAGGAATATAGCCCCACCAAAACAATGTGATTTGACTAAAAGAGATGATCAAGGGCAAGACAACTATGTGAAACTTCTTTCAAAACCTGGAATATAGCAGAGTAAATGCAGTGTCCAATTTCACCACCACTAATATTCAGTAGTGCTTTCTAGTTGACTAACTTGTTACTGGCTATCAGTCCAAACCTGCCTGGAGAAATTTAGTGTAAGTGAGGCAAAAGCAAGCTATTTGAGAGTGAACATAAATTGCTGGCATGCTCTGTCTTTGGATGATTAAAAGGAGAGATTGAGGTACTTATCCAAGCACCAAATTTAGACTCAGAGTTGACTATATATTACACCTGATGATCTGGACACAAGTCCCAAGTCTCCCTTGCTGGGTAGAGAGATATATATCTGCCTGTTTACAAGCTTTAAAAAGTGTTTTTAGCTAGTTCAGATACTTAAATTTTAAATTTAATGTTCATATGAATTTTTAATGTGCCATGAAAACCTAAGGTTCATAAACCATTTATAGTAACACATGAAGGCTCTCTTTGTTATCTCTGACTGATTTGTCCCTCAGATCCACAGAAATCCTTTTAAAACCTCAAGATAAACTAAAATATATGGCTTTGGAAAATATGCCTCTTTAAAGATCCAGGAGAGCTGGTTCTGCTCTTTAAGAAAAGCTTATGGCAGTACGTACACACTTCTTATGAAGGACCATCTGAAATAAGAAGATCTAACAACCATAACAGCTAGACAGAGGTTATTTTTCTAGTCCATAAGAAGGATGCTGCTGCCTGAACTGAAAGACAGTCTTTGCTGTCATTACTGTTGGTGTAGCAAGCTTACCCCATTCTTTTGTTGGAAAGGAAAAAATGTGACCAACAGATTTTTCAGTTTATGAAGAAGAGGTATCTGGGGAAATATCACTTCTTTGGTCATTATGGTTCAAAGCAGTTTAATGACAAAGATGCCACCTATAAAGCTATCTGTAGATGCAAGAGCAATTTCAACAAAGAC